TTTTTTTGCAATGTTGTCGATGTTATGAATTATTTATAGTTCATTTTCTCATCTCCCATCCATAGACTTGTCTCTCTGTATTACCGACTCTTCAAACTTGATCATCAAAGTTGTTCCTTTATGCCAGTGTGCAGTTACTTTTGCAGGCTACAACAAAATTACATCTATTAGCAAACTCAATGTAGCCAACCCATACTGTAAATCCCTCAGCAAAACTCCTCACTTGCCTTTTACACCCGAACCTCATTTCCTACACATTTCCTCTTACTAGTAATTACTGACAAAGAGAATTTGGTTAAAGCAATCAAGAGCTTCAGTAGTCTCCTATATTCTTGTTACTATTGATCAGTGATATTAATTAAAAGAGATGGGAGATGCTGGTTTTTCCCAAAGGATTGAAAGGTGAACTCCTTCACACTTGAGATCTCATTAGTCATTCTCCCTGCAGTCTGCCATATGATCCTTATGATGTTAGTTTAGAGAGTTTAGTATTGGACAAACCAAACTTCTATTTGATATTTTCTTTATTCTCATTGCTTGTTAGTCTCCTTCGCAGCCTTCTTTCGGGATGTCACGCAACGCTCCCCCAAAAAGAAACGGCTGCTCACATTCGAACCACATTCCTTTCCCATAGTGTTTCAAACAACCAATTAGGTCAGGGTACTGTGAGTGATGTAATTTTCGAGTGAAGTTTATGTGAGATTTCCTTTCAGCCACATGGTATGGCGAGTGAAACGCCAAAAAAAGTTGTGGAGGAAACCTCAAAGTATTTCATGTGTTCTTCGCCTTCGGCAGCCCAAGAAAGAGTATTTATTTTCGGAAATAGTACCCATAACTTTGTGGAAATAATCAGATCTTCCTTGGACTTCAATATCAGCTGCTATGCGAGCAGCAAGTTGTTTATATGCAAAGCTGTGTGTTGCAAGCGGCTGCTGAAATTTCAATGAGCAACTGAAAAGGTTCTAGAGCTGAAGAGGGAAATTCTTGAATCTTTCCAAGGGAGGCCAAGAACCAACCACTCGTCGCCAAATTTAGTATCTTGTAGGGAACTTATTGACCACACGGAATCGGCATTGCCACGCTACCTTTATTCTTTTGCACACTCGCCCTATATACATTACACAGCATTACCCACGTACTTCATAGTAATTAGATTATGTCATCACCGATATTATTACACAAACATGAACACGATAGGGAGAGCTTGATAAATTAGAGATTTTCCAGAGCCTGTGGGCAGGTTCACTAACACATCTTGCTTCTGAATGACAAACCTTTAAATCACAAGCTTCTGGTAAGAATTAAAGCCTGCGATTTTGAAAGTTGACGATGCTTGAAGAAAAGCTTCATTAAGGACCATCATCTTGATTTTGTAATCTCAGGAGATAGTGGAACGATAAAACGAGAAGTATTATTGGTCAAGTCATCTTTAGAAAATGTCGCGTGCGACAGTTCCAGAAAATGGAACTGTAGCTGTGATTGGCCAAAATCGGGAAAGGAATGTGGTTTGGATGTGAGCAGCCGTTTCTTTCGGAGGAGCGTTACATGACATCCTGAAAGACAGCTGCGAAGGAGACTAACTGCTTGTCGGTTAGATATTGTTTTGTTATTGTAATGAGAAATTCTGTCTTGGTCACTCATGGGAGTGAAACAGTGAAGGATTCACAGAGACTGTAGGAATTAAATTTGACATAACTCACCCAACCATTGCAATGCAACTTGATTTTGCTGATTGATCAGCTACAAATGTGACTGCATAACATGTCTGATAAAATCTGAAGCGCTCAAAGCTTAACATACAAGGCAAGAAGTGCCAAGAGCTTATCACTAGCGGTAGTGGTAAGCCACATAGAGTAATACCAAAACAGTGGATCACATTCAAGAAACCCTTTGATTGGCTTCTCAAACTCTAAATATCCTTTGCTATTCACCTCTGTCGCTCAGTAAATATTCATCAGCAGCCACCTCCAGTTTGGTGAATAGTTGTTAAA